ACAATAGAAAAAAAATAAAGTTGAAAAAGTTCATTTGTTGCTCAACCATAACATGCCTAGCGCTTTCACTGAAAATTTTGTAATTTTGAACATTTATTGTGTCTTTTCAAGCAAAAGGTCTGGAAATTATTTTTCTGAAGTAACAAAAAACATGCATACCACAGTATTGGTGTCTATGGCTACACTTCCTCTAGGGGTTGCTAGAAGATCTCTTGATTCCTTCAGCTCTCGTAATGCTCGCTGTATGTCCGAATCGTAGTCTTCTTGATAGCTGCAAGATATAGCACTTTAAAAGCTCCATATAAAAGCGATTTGAGGAGATCACAAGAGTCATATTCTGTGTAGGAAAGCTTCGTACACTTTTAGTCATTAAAATATTTTTGTAAAGTCTAAATCTCTTGAAATATGTTTGAAAATGTAGAAAGTGTATTGAGCTGTCTTTACTTATTACATGTAATGTATATGTAGTGTACTTTACTTGATGTTTTTTTTGGTGAAAACTAATATCCGAAAATTCGCCAGCATAGGTTGCCTGTCCCCATCCAAAACTAGCCTCGTTTATGTAATTTCCGACCATTACTGAATACTCTGCGCACTACACCAATAAATTATTTGGGGGAAAAAACTTCCGATAAAGTAAATTATGCTAGGAAAGTTGTGACCTCGACAGGACAAAAAAAAACAAGCAATGGAGTTTGTTAAATCAAAACAAGTCACTTTTATTTGTTTCAAATTTTTCTAGTTCTACATACTTTTGATATCACAACCCCAGTTGACAGAGCTGGTCTTTCCCGACGCACCCACCAATAATGCATTATAACTTTTCCGTCTAAAAAAGCAATAATATCAGGATCTTTCTATTCTCAATAAGGTATTTGGAAGAATTTGTGTATATTTTTTATTACTTTTAGTAATATTGACTTCAGATAACTTTGAATTCGAATTAGGGTTGAATGAACAGTCTACAAAATTCAGCGTACCTTGAGGAATTGTCACCGGTTTGCAAAACTTCTACGTCCAATTGCCTTACGCAGCTCGCCTGAAATTTCGAAAATATAGTAGTTTTAGCAATTTTTAATAAAATACGTAAAGTAAAATAAGTTCTAAAAATTCCTTTTTTCCAGAGACATGTTCTATATTCTTTTTTCTTGTTCCTCCAACT